AGTTTTTACCAAAAATCACTATAGCTTCTGTAATTTAATATCTAGTCAAACTGTTGAGTCATAAATGAGACCATATAATTAAGACATCACGATCATATTGAAGCTTAACATGAGAAAGTTAAGGGAGGTAACCACTCAAGGTCCTCAAATACCTGAAAGTCAGAGTGATGCAGACGCTTGGGTTGTCCATAGCTGGCAAACGTTTTCCCGTTCAAACATATCTGTCTGCATTTTGAGGAACGAACAGCAGAAGGCAGAAAGAGCCAGCTTGTGAAGTCCACGTGTGTTTCAACAGAATTCAACAAAACTGTAAAAAAATGGAATATTTTCCACCAATATTCAAGTAACACTTTTTATTAGTCAATACTTTTCCTAATTGTATTTTCTAAATAAATTTTTTTTCTCTACCAAGTTATAAAGTATCATTAAAGTCAGGTGAAGCACATTCTAAATAATAGTAATCAACTAGATTTGCACTTTGGGAATAGTCTGTGTATTTATCTATAAATAGTCAACAAAAGGATGATTAAAATATAAAGTATAAAAATGACTTTCTCACATTACTTCAACTTATGAACTAGTTTAAGGAATTATAAAATTATGACAAATATACCATAAAGCAATCTAAGAACTTCCAAAAGAAGTAAATTATCTTTTTTGTTCTATTTCACAAGTAATCACTACTAATATTCTCATAACTTCAAAATCCTCTATGCATATTGAGCATATAAATACTTTCACAGAGGTGTGTGTCTTTGTCGTGTGTGTATATGTGTATTATATATACATATTACTTGTGGGTTTTTTTTGTTTGTTTGTTTTGTTTTGGTACTGGGGATCGAACTCAGGGTCTTGCACTTGCGAGGCAAGCAGCAGAACCAGTGAGCTAAATCCCCGTACCTATTACTTGTGTTTTTGTGTGCATATATGTGCATGTTGTGCTTGTATGTATGTGCATATTTATTAATGTGCATGGGGTGCATGCATGGCTAAGTGTGTAAATGTGCTCATGTCCATATGCCTGTGCATGTGTTTGTATGTATGTGTGTGAGAGAGAACAAGAAATTCATTAATCCCACATCTTGCTCTTTCTGAGCATAGGATTTTTGACTCTTCTCCTGTCAGCATGTGTAGATGCAGACATGGATTTCAGAAGGGGATGAATATTCAGATTGGTAAAGACGTCAGTGTGGGTGGGCAGGTGGCCCGTGTCAATAATCCCAGCATTCTGGGACAGGAGGATCACAAGTTTGAAACCAGTTTGAGCAAAAGTGATTCAGAGAGACCCTGTCTCATAATAAAAAAGAAAACTCCCAAGCTGTGCATGTGGGTCAGTGGGAAAGCAGACTGAGTACTGGTCCCTCTGAGGATGAATTGTCTCTGTTCTCAGTCTCCTCATCTATACTGTTTCCACAGCTTCTGGGCCCCATGTAAAACAGGAAGTCCTGCCTCGGGTTGGGAATCCTGTTCCCACATGCCAAGGACAAAGAGACAGCCACTCACCCCGGTACAGCATAGGGTGCACTAAGTGGCTGCACCCCATCCCTTCCCGGTACAGCATAGGGTGCTCTAAGGGGCTGCACCCCATCCCTTCCCGGTGCAGGGAACCATTCTACCCAGAGATCCACCCCTCTGCTTTCTGCATCCAGGAAACCAACTTGAAGACTTTTGTCTTCTGGAGGCTTTTTTTCTGCTTTCTTCCCTTACCAAATCCTCCAGGCAAGAAATCACAATGCCTAACTCTAGCAAAAGGAGGAGGAGAAGAGGAAAAGAATAGATGTTTCCAGAAGCCATCCTGCCACACACTATTGTACCCCCTTCACAGAGCCACAGTGAGGAGGATTCACTGCTCCAGAGGGCAAAGGCCTTCCGTTTTGATATTGTCAGGCAGCTGTCTGGGGGCCTCCCCAATGATGACATACAAGGCCCTTTCTGATTGTTCCTTCCTGTGAACATGGTCATATTTTAAATTGTATAAACATTAAACTATTGTGGTGTAAAGTTTTGATTCTTTCATTATAAAGAATTTTGGTACATTTTACCAAGTGTTTACATATGTGCCATTTATATTATTATTATTCTCCTAGATTCTTGCCTCTGAAATTGGAACTGGCCTATAAAAAGAAGGCATATCAGTATAGTTCACATCAAGATTTTATGAAACGATGCAAATCTTTTAAATAAAGGACAACGTTACTGTAGATATCTCAAATTAAACTGTGACTTTGTGAATTATGAAAGTGAATATGGAGTATCAATAATACAGTACCTCACACTATACACCATCCCATAAATGGGTGCCTCCATATTTTGAACTAAGAAAAGTTATTTAAGATCAAAAGCAGAAAAAATATATAGCTCTAAAATACGAGCTACCTTTCAAAATTAAAAGAATATAAATAAACTCATAGTAAAGAGAAATAAGGAAAAAGGAAGTTTTCCACATCTGAAGTATACGTGCCATGAAGACCTGGGTATATTTTTTGAAAATTACAGAACTAAAGCAAATACGTCTTATATGTAATTTAGATGTGGGTAATAAAAACAAATTTCTGGTTTAATTTACTCATACTAGCAGCAATTTAAAACCATTACATCATTCGGTGGCCTGCCTTGCAAGCGCAAGGACCCGAGTTCAATCCCCGGTACCAAAAACAAACAAACCATTACATCATCAAAATCACTGATAAATGAGATAAAGTACGTAAAAGTAAAAAAAGGTAAATTCTCAATAAAATTTACTGATTATTTTAATATTATTTTTATTTTCAAAGGAATCATTTAGCATGTCATTTTTTTCTTCCAGTCTTAAATCCTTTTAAAAGATTCATTTAAAGTCAGATAAAATTTAGAACAGATGATGAAACCCTCAGCAGTGATACTTCAGAGAACAGTGGTTAATTCTTCCTGAGGCTTCTACTTAACTAAAGTTTTGCTGGAAATGGTTAATATAATGTGCAGTTCAGTCATATTCAATCACTGGTGTGAAATTTTCTTGAGAAATAAATCAATGTCCTCCACCTTATTCAAAGTTGTTATAGTCTACAATGTTCCAACAACTGGGTGAGAGGGATAAATAAAGCCACAGACTCTCTCCAATTTAGTGATTGAATTGCGATTCTTTACTATAGTAGGAAAGTTACATATATTCAGTAGAAACCATAATTTGAGTTTTGAACTTTAATTTTTTCTCAGCCCTCTGATGTGCATTATTCTCTCCTGACACTGAGCACTAGCTCAGTGCAGCTCCAAGGAACCATTCCACCAAGAAGGCCCAAGGTAGGTGCTTTCAGTCTATGTTTAGTTCATCAGGACACAGCCTTGTCCCAGTGGAAGAGCATCTTTAAACTGGCATGCTAGTAATGTGATGGCAACCTTTGTTGCCATTCAGAATATCTACTTTTAGCAGACAGAAGCTCCCAAAGTTACTAAAGCCACATAGAGAAGGCAGACCATGATTCTTACTGTCATGGTTGCTTGGAAATTTTTTTCACTGTTGGACAATGTTAAAAGAGACATTTCAAGTGCGAGTTCAACAACATCTTAAATGTGGTGAAAGAAAAGGAGACATTGGGGCAATTCCAAAGCGGAAGAGCCATTATAATACCACAATACTGTCCTCATTAATTTGTGCCTATTATTTGTGGCTCTTTTCAGCCCTTTCTCCAACTTTTACTTATTGGATGCTACCTTCATATAAAGCTTGCTTTTTCGAGATTTGAGGAAGAAGTTTTTCTACACGTGGAAATTTTTAATGAGTGTTTATACGGAGAATTTCCTTCTGATTCTTCAAACAATACTTTTAAAGCCTCCACTCTTATAAAAGCCAAATCTCATCCAGCTTGTATAAACTAATATTGCTGCACAGGTGGTCATAACATTTTCTTCTAGCTGAATTTCATCTTCTTAGCTTCTCATTAAACAAAATAGCATACTAACAACACTGTTGAGTGACTAAACCAGCCAAAGATCAAGAATGGTGGTTGTGTACAACGTTCCATGCTTCCTTACTTAATCTTGTCTCCATTGGCTCAGCAAAGTAATATTGTATTTTCTTTGCTGAGCGTTTTCCCTTTTTGTTCATCTTAAATAGCTGGCTTCTAAAGAGTCTAATGATTTCTAAAGCTGTTCACTGCATAAGACGACTGTATAGCTCAAGCTATCAAATCTGCTCATGCAGGATGAAAGAGTTTATTTTGGCTGAGATGACTAATTGGCTGTTCTCACTGAAACCTTTGCAGAGGATAAGTCCCTTGGCTGTAAGGGAAGAAAGTCAATTAACCTTTCACACCAGGTAAAGTATTTGTAAAGACTTTGCCTAAGGTAATGCATTTTCTGTTATGCTTCTTGCCTTCTACTCAAATAGAATCATTTAGAACATTTTTCTGAGCTAATGGTGTTGTTTATTAAAGCAAATGACTTAAAGCGTGAATTGAAAGGCTCAGTGCTACATTGGGAATGTGTATGAAAACCTGCATCTGTCAAATGGGCTTGGCATAGTTGCCACCAGCAGACAGGGCCCTGCTTTAGTTGATTTCAAGCTTCACAGGCTGCTGGCATTGCTGTTGTTTCGTTTCCACCCTCTTGCCCCAGATGACCCTGCTCTTTCATTTCTGAGTGTGCACTTCCCAGTGACAATGCAGCCAAGTCTCCCCTGCTGTTTCTACAATTCCTCTCCCTTCATATCTTTAAAAATCAGATGTGTGCTATTATCTGGAAAGCATCCATCTCCCAAGCCCCGGGTTTGCTGAGGTGATGGTGCACAGGTTGTGTGTAAAGCAGACAAACAGGCAGGGACAAGCACACGGGCTGCAGCAGATGTGGGTTTTCCCTCAGATGCCTGTACCGATGGTGAGGGTTTAGAATAAACCGCAGTAAGATGATGCCCCGGATAATATTTAGTGCCCAATATCCAAGAAAACCACAGAACAAGGATATGTCTACATCTCATCTAAATTATTCATTCTCAGTTTTCACTTCTGTCATCCTTGAGAATAAACCATCTATGTGATGAACAAAGTACACTTTAAAAATGTCTTTATGCTACATTTCAACCTAATGCCTTTTCTAGACAATATGTTTTTAAGAATTTCTGAATCAAATTCCTCAATCACCATTTCTATTCATCAGTTCTATTACCTTGAAGATTTATCTCAACTGCTACTGCCTCACAACTTGATACCTTTTTTCTTTTTGCACTCCCACTGAATTTGTTGTTAACATTTTATTCTGTGCTACCACTTTTTTATTCCAGATTATCCTATAATACTTGTGCACCTTTCTAATCTCACTACCCAAACACAAAAGCACTTTGGCTCCTTCCGTGGGAAGCTCTCTTACCTATTAATTACATCTCAGCTGATGTACGTATAGTAAGCTGATACATAGTAAGCAATTTCATATCTGAAATGTGTCATCCAGAAAGGCAGTCATCAGGACCAGGTGTACAATAAGTAAATCTCAGATTTCACTGAAGACAGTGACCAAAGCAGAAGGATAATATCTATGAATTAATAAACAACCACTCATTAAAAGAAATAATTCTGAGCAAGCTCTATCCTATCCTAGTTGCTCCATTGAGCAGAATGGCACAGCTGTCCCATGATGGTCAGTCCTAGCACTACAACCTCAGGCAGAAAAACTGAAAGAAAACTTACCTGTGTTTGGGTGTCCTCGGGCAGTGGGACTTTCAGGGCTACTGCAAACTCCAGAGAAGTTTCAGAAGGACTTTGCTGTTATGTTTTAGATTGAAGATGTCCCCCAGAGGCCTCATGCATGTATAGGCAGGGCTTTTAGAAGGAGACTGAATCATGGGTTAATATAGCTGATTTGCTGTTATGAGGTGGAGTCTGGTCAGAAGAAGATGGTCACTGGGGTGTGGCCTGGAAGGTGAATCTTTTTCCTGGCCCCTCGCTTTTCTCCTCTTCCAGATCACCATGATGTCAACACTTTCTTCCACTATCCCCTCTCTGACTTGCCATGTTTGCCCTGGAGCTATCTGACCAAGGACTATAACCACTAGCCAAAATAAACCTCTCCTCCTCTAAGTTGTGAGTGTGGGGTATATCTTGCAAAAAGAAAGTGACTTAGCCCCTTAGAAAACTCCCTCATCTCTCTTTTCCTCCACTGGCTCTGGGGTGTCTAGTTAACTTGCCCACCTCCTCTCCCAAGCCAGGAAGATGACTCCTGCCCCATTTCCCAGAAGGATCCCAAGGATCTAATAAAATAAGTCTTATTGCTGGGCACTGGATCTGTGGTCCTGGGTTCTCTCATGTTCTGCAACACTCCAGGTCCTCTGCCTCTCAAAATCCTGGCCAGCTCTCTGCTCAGCAATATCTCTGGGGAACAGATGGCATTTTCCAAAGCCTCAAACATGGATCATCCATGGAGAAGCAAGACCAGCAGAAAGATCTTCAAGTGTGTGGGATCCTCAAGCATCCCAATTGCAGGAGAGAAAGCTGAAGCCACCTAATTAGTGTCCCGTGCCCTTTTCACACTGAGAGATTCAGACGGTGGTTTACCCTAAGACCCAAGTGTCCAAGTGGTGGAAACCCGATCCCACACTGTCTTCTAGAAGTAGTGAAACTGAGAAGTTGAAAGGGAGCTTTATAATTAGGATTATAACGCTACTTTTCCCAGCTTTTTCATGCTTACAGTGAAACGGCTAACGCCATTCCTAGTGTCAAGAAAGTTTCAACAGAACCAGGTTTCCTTTTCTTTTTTTCCCCCTGGACCTGCATGTGGCCCACAGCCTGGCTGAAAGTATAATTCTTGAAGTATGCAAACCTCCTGGCTTTTGTTCCCTCCTCCCTTTAAGTTGAAGTGCTTCTGTGTGTTCAAGAGAGGCTGACTAGCTGCCTTCTCAATTTCGCCAGGTTGTGAGCAAACTAATTCGTCCATTGTTATTGCCTTTCTTGTGCTCTTGTCGGCACCAGGGAAATGAATCTAGATGGTAGCGTTCTAGAGTCACGCCTCCTGCCAGGCAGATTAATGGCAGCGTAAGGGATGGCCTTGGGCTCAGGCAGGGCCTGGGAACACTAGGGATACTCCTGTACCAAGCTTGGACTCCAGCCATGTTGTTCAGAGACAAGTGGTTGGGAACCAGGTAACCAGTGAAGGAGAAAATGCACACCTGACCACAGGTAGTCAGAGTTACAGCCACAGGGGCAGCTCTGCCAGACAGGCCAATCGGAGAAACTTACAGCCAATTTGCCCGCCAGTGTCACCAATCAATTGAAACGCCAAGCTCCAGCCAATGAGGACGTCCTCCACCGGCTGCCCCAGGCAATCAGGAGGCCGCGGCGGGGCACCGCCTCTGTGTGCAGGTTGCTGGCGAGGCAGGGACTCTTCTGTACCGAACGTGACGCGAGGGGTGCCGGCAGCCATGGAGAAGATCCCTCCAGTAGGCCTGGGAACCTGGAAGGTGAGGCCGGTGAGGCTGGAGGGGCCCTAGCAGGGCCATGCGGAGGGAGTGGACGCCGAGGCCGGGTCTGCAGGGACGGAAAGTCAAGGCTGGGCTCCTGAGGCGACCGCAGACTCAGGAGACGAGAGGTGGCGCCCTCTTCGGCTATGATCGGCCTTCCTCGGCCCTCTTCGGCCCTCCTCGGCCCTCCTTGGCCCCTCCTCGGCCATGATCGGCCCTCTTCGGCCCTCCTCGGCCCTCCTCGGCCCCTCCTCGGCCATAATCGGCCCAAGGGCTCTGGCGAACCTGCTGCCCGAGAGGGGTCTGTGTAGACTTTCCTGGCTTTCTTCGGACTCTTAATTCCTCCCAGTGACTTGAGACCCAGCACTAAGCAAAAGGCCATTCAAATGTGCGCTTACAAAACAGGAAACTTATTCCTTGATAAAGAGGTGTCCCTGTAAGAGGTCATTAAAGGTTTATTGGCTGAGCCAGAATTTGAATATTTGACCTCTGCTGGTCAAAATATTTTTAAAATTATGTGTCGTAATAAAAAATGACGTAGAATGTGGCTATATCGGTTCTGGGTTCTCTGACGGAGCATGCGTTTGACAGCGGTGCTGGGTGAAACTGATTGCAGGGTTGTGCTGGGTTCGTAGAATGACGCGGGAGCATCCCTCTCTGCTGTCCGAAAAAGGCTGTGTTAAATTGAGATTATTTCTTTTTTATCATTTCGTAGAATTCTTCTATGGTGATTTTTCTCTCCCGAATTGCTTCATTTCTTTAATAACAGAATATTTAAACTTTACTTTTGAGTTAAAATTTTTCTCAGAATTTTTTCCATTTCATTTTTCCAAATTGTTGGATTTGGTTGTTGGTCATAGATTCTTTTAAGTCGTTTACCTATATTTCTTCCTTTTCATTCTCGTCAGTGTTTAGAAAATTGATCCTTTCCAGACCAACCTTGCCAGAAATGTGTCTATTTTATTAAGGTTTTTCCAAACTGATTTCTCTCTCTCTCTCTCTCTCTCTCTCTCTCTCTCTCTCTCTCATTGAGTTTATTGGTACATTTTAGGTATACAGTAGTTACATTCATCACTGGGATCTTGTACCTTTACAAGACAGGTCTTGGTTCTCATTTTTTCCCCTTGTCCCTGCCCTCCCTTCACCCCCCCTTCCCTATTTACAAAAACTTTGTTTCCATTTTTTCATTTTCTCATTTTTATATTTTCTCTTATTTTCTTTCCCCTACCCTTCCCACTTCCCCTACACCTTTAGCCCATTTCTCCCTACTTCACATTGTCATTTATACCATTAGGACCTTATTTACGATTATAGTTTTTCACACCAGAGAAACAATTTGATATTTACACATGTGTGACTTATTTATTTCTCTTAAGAGGATATCCTCAACCAAATAACTGATTTCTGGCTTTGCTCATCTTTCCTATCACACTTTATTTTCTTCTTCATTAATAGCATTCTTATTTTTTATTTTCTCTTTATATCTTAAATTAGTTGCTTGATTTATTAGCTGTAAGCCACTCTGAATCTATTGCTTGTTAAGTGAACACACGCACTGATGAATTTCACAGTGCTGCTGAGAAGCTAAAGTGGAAAAGTACATTTGAACTAAAAGCCCTTGAAAACTCCATAGTTTGCAGAGTTTGTGAGTTTTCTACCTTTGCCCCTAGGTGTAGCCTCTTCTCTTGCCTCGGCCCAGTTTACAGTGACCAGTTTTCTTTTCTGAATTTCTGTATTGCTTCTAGCATCTGAATTATGTATTTGCTTTGTGGTATGTGCCCTTTTGTGTAGACCTACCCCTTTCGCCTTACAAATGGACTGTGTTGTTTCTGTGCTAACTGATGAGAGTTTTTTTGCAACTTTATTCATAATTGCTAAAACTTGGAAGCAAGGAAGATGCCCTCCTTTGTTTTTTTCTTAGTACATGTTTCAGTAGGTAACGATCACATGTCATGGGGAGTTAATACATAAGCGTGATACATTTTAAGGTTTTTTTGCTTTCCCTTCCCCTCCTCTCCCTCCGACCTTCCTCCATCTCTTGGTCCCCTTACCATTTCCAAAAGATCTCTCTCTCTCTCTCTCTCTCTCTCTCTCTCTCTCTCTCACTCTCGTTTCTGTTATCTTTTATTTTACTCTTTAATATACTTTAAGTAGAAAACTTGTGATATTTAACTTTGTATACCTGATTTATTTCACTTAACATTATGCCATATGGTCCTCCTACCTTCCTGTGCCTCAGTTATTATTTGTTTTATGTTGATTTAATTCCTTGATCATTCAGGAAGTTTAAAACATCCAGCTCAGTCCTCTGCAGGTGCTAGAAATACCTGTATATTTTTCCCAAATAAGTGAAGAAGCTGGAATTTAGTTTTTCAATAAATTTCTTCTGACTGACATCTCCTAATTTTAGGACTGGTTGATGCCAATTCATTGACATCAATTTTTATGTATTCCTGAATGCCACATTCTTGTGTGCAAAGAGTTGGATTCCCTGACTCTGGAAGGAGCGTTTCTGACTTGTTGGTTTTGCAGGCCTCTCCAGGAGAAGTAACTCACGCCGTGAAGGTGGCCATCGATGTGGGGTACCGGCACTTTGACTGTGCGTACTTATACCAAAATGAGAATGAGATAGGAGCGGGGATCCAGTGCAAGATCAGCGAGGGTGCTGTGAGACGAGAGGACCTGTTCATTGTCAGTAAGGTAGGGCTTCTCTCCCGTGAGGACTGCGGGGCCTCAGCTGCTTTGGTCTTGGGAGAACTGCAGTACCTATCATGAAAAATTTTCCAGTTTCCTAATGAGAATTGTTGGCTTTGTTTTGTACTTTAACCAGAGTCAGCAAGAGTTTTCATAGCTTCTTGAACATGGTAAATGATATTGTGTATAGCTTTATTCGTTTTATATCACATATTTGACTATTTAGGTAAGAGTACATAGAGTTCTCCTATTTAATACATTCCTTTTTAAAAATTATTTCATACCAGTTATTACAAAGTAATGGATTTTATTTTGGTGTATTTGTGCATGTATAAAAATTAACAGTACATTCTTAAAACAGAAACTGGTTGGTGGGCATTTTGGCTAAGGTGGTGAATAAGACAAAGTTTCAGCCCTCATGAATACAGAAATTCCCAATCTCAGAATCACGTGAAGTGATTGTTAAAATGCAAAGTCCGTGTTCCACCCCAGTTCTACTGAATAAAAAACTCTGGCAGTGGAATAGGGTACAGGTGACGGTGTCAGGCTGGCATTACGAAAGGAGCAGATTAAACACAGGCACAAGGCAGGAGCTGGCACTGCAGGTGCAGGGACCCTTAAGTTTGGTGTTCTTGGAACACACGCAGGGAACCAAACCTTTAGTCCACAAAGTGAGGCTGAAAGGCTAGGTCTTGTTATGCCTCTGAAGGAGCTTATATTTTTACCCGGAGACAAAAGAAAACCAATGAGTTTTTAAGTAGGGCAGTTTATGTTACATGTAAGCAAGACTGTGTTGTATCTGGAATATCAAGGCAGGCAGAAGATGGCACAATAAAGAGGGGCAGGGAAGTAAGTGGTGGTGTGGATGATAGGAGAACACCATGGAAAATATGAGAGATAGACTACGGTATTAGAAACGACAATGCTCAGAGCAGGAGACTGTTGTCAAGTTCTGTCATTCAAGCGCTGTATTAATTGTTGGACAGATCAGGTCACAGTTTCAGTATTTGTAAAATGAGAGTTTGATAGTCTGAATAATTTTCAGGTCTAAAATTCCATAATTTTGAGACTCAGTGTTGTTTCTATAATGGCTTTGCTTATCTGTTTCACTTTAAGAGCTTAATTTTTACCATACTTCTCAAAGCTAGTGTAATCCTGGGTCTGTGCTTGGCCAAGGCAAGAGATTTTCTTCTGAAAATTCACAGCAGGGAGATGGGTAGCTGGGAACTCCTTAATCTTACTCAAACCTAAAAGCAAATAACTCCTAAGGGGATCATAGCCAGCAGCAGATGGATATATGCTCATTAGTGTGGGAAAAGTTATAAAAATGTTATTTAAAAATAAGTAAATCACTTACACTCACTACCTAGAGATAACTATCATGTAGTTCTAGTTGCCTGTTCTTTTCGCATTTTTGTTAATCCGCTGTACTTGTCATTTATTTTTATCTCTCTTACTAATTGTTGTTTTTACTTGCTGTGATAGAACCCTCTAGTAAGCTTCTGCCACACTTAACTAAAAATGTACCAGGGATACAATGGGGAGAAAAAATACTGATAAATTTGTCTGCTTATTCAGGAGTGTGGAAGTAATATCTAAATAAATATAAGGCAGTGTATGTTAGCTACCTGTGTTAGCCTGAATGGTTAGGATGCTTTATTAACAGAGAAACTTGAAAGTAAAATCTATATGAGTTGGAAATACAGTACAGACATTCTTCGGATTGTTACTCATGTCCTTTTGCCTGCAGACATTCTTTTTCTTTGACTTTTTTGGCCCCAGTGATCCAAATAACTATCAGCTGTCCTGCCAAATGTATTGTAGTGCATTAACCTGTCTCGAGTAGGACTCGGGCAGAGGGAGCCTTGCTTCAAAGGCCCCTGTGGAACTTTTGTGAAGATAATGTCACTGCCTCCCCTCAGGACCTGTCATGTTGTATTTGTTGAAACCTGATTCTAGATTTTTGGTCTTCTAGGGAGCAGCTTGTGGGTCTGAATAGTGGGTGCTCTGTTAGCTCTAGCTCTAGATTGTGGCTGTGGCTGTGTGACGATATCTCCCTTCTCTTCTGCAGCTATGGTGCACTTTCCACAAGAAGTCCTTGGTGAGGACAGCGTGCTGCCAGAGTCTGAAGGCCTTAAAGTTGGACTACTTGGACCTCTACCTCATTCACTGGCCCATGGGTTTCAAGGTATTGCTTACTATGTGGTTAGGTTTGTATGGAGGCTTAAATAAATGTCAGCATGGGAGATGGCTGCAAAGTGAAATGGTTAGCAGCCTCAGTTCATCATGGAAAGTTCCTCTAAAAGATAGATCGGGTGCCTCATTTCTCTGAGCCCCACACTTTGCTCTTGAGCACATCTTATATCTACTTCTAATAAATCCTTCTTGTGTCTCTTTAAAAAATATATGGATCAGGAGCTGGGGATTTAGCTCAGTGGTTTCACCACCTGTCTCCCAAGCGCAAGGTCCCGAGTTTAATCCCCGGTACAAAAAAAAAAATATATATATATATATATATCGGAGCTCGGCAC